TTTTTGTGTCTACTTCACCTCACCATTTGCCAGTTACCAGTTGCCAGTTGCCGGTTGCCACTTACTCCCCCAGCTACTTTCTACACGCGCGTAATCTGTGCTTAAAGCGCTTCGCTCTCCGTCTCTCGCTCTCTTTCCCAACCTTTTCCTCTCCCGACATGCATTTGCATATTAATCTGGCCAGGAGCAGCCGCTCCAACGATCCCAAAATTACATGAAACTACACATTTTGGTTTGTCACCTCGGCGCACAGCAAGTAATCAGGTCTCTATGTGTATGTGTGTGTGCTTTGTGTGTTTTCTTGTGTTGTGTTGTGCGCCGCTTTCGGCAATCGCATGGCCACCTCTACCCTGCCCCCCATCGCCCAGCTCCCCCGCACAGCTCCTAAATGTATGCAAATGAGGGCCAACAAGGACGGCGGCAGCTGCTCTCAAGGCGACTTAACGCCTGCTTAATGAACATAAATTAGTCACCAGGTGTCACGTTGCCTCACGCTGGGCGTGTCAGTGGGCGGCATGGCAGCAAAGATGGCGGGTTGCGGCTGTAGGGGCTACACGCATTTATATATTAATTTGTAGAATATGCCTGTGTTCCATTGTGGTTGGCAAGGTCTTAAAGTCATTTAGAGTAAATTATTAGGAGAAAATCTTAAGCATTTTGTCGATCTGGCAGCACCAAGCAACTACTTCAGTGTATTAAATTGAGTTTGAACCGACTATTGACAAGACAAAAGCTTTCAATTGAGATGCATTTTACTGGTATGACCGTCAATTCATAGTCCACAGAAACACTTGCACTTACATGCAACTTTAAGCTAGCGATCTGGCAGCATGGAATATGTAAATGCACTCATTAAGTTAGCTGCGCCTCACTTTGTTCAAGTTACACTCTATCTATTGAGGCATTATTGTATGAAATCAAGCTGAATTCATATGATTAACAACCAATTTGGCCGATTCGCGCTCTCCATTACGTTATTCCCAGTTGGATATGGTAGTTGGCCGTTGATTGGGTTTCGCTTCAGTGGCTGCCATAATATAATTTGTTGCACATCCGGTTGGAGTTCACTCGAATTTCCCCGCGCCGCATTGGGCACCCGGGCAGTACTTTGATGCAATTAGTTTGGCAGCATTTCGTATACACGTATGTAATATGACTCAACGGCAATTCAGAATTGATTGATGGGTATCCATGTATCCATGTATATGCCCGGTAGCCGAGCATGAGTATACTCATGAATATTGAATGAAAACATGTCAGTTATAATCGCATTTCGATTGCCCTCGCGCTGCATTCGCTTTAATGGGGAGAATTAAGCAACCAAGAAGTGCCTTTTTAATTGCCCGTTCCACACGTTCTCATTCATTTTCTAATGGAAGAGCTGGTTAAACACTCGAATGCGAACCAAGTCATTAAAGTTTTGACCCCATTCGCTGGGCAGGTCGCCAAGTGCACCTTTTGACCCAGTTTATTGACTCTTGTCGTCAATTACAGTTTGCTAATCATTGCCTTTGGCTCATTACAATTGTCAATCCCGTTGAGTGCCCGCCCCCAGCCCTGTCATTGACAGTTACAATGGGATTAATGGGCTCCCCTTTAAGTTCAGAGCGAACGCAACTTGACCACAATAATATCAATGACCAAGTTGAGGGTGCAAAAACCGTGGGCATATGGTGTCTCCGGATCGCTGTTCACAGCAGCATTTAATACCACAGGGGCAGAGCGGTGGTGAAGCTCCTTATGTTAAGTGCTGCACTGCGGCCGACCAAATCCCACACAAAGCCCATGTTGGTCAGCCGAAACGCTCACTCTCTCCTGGCTAGGCTCACAGGATAACAGGATAACTGGCTAACTGGGTAACAGGCAACAGGCAACAAAGGCAACATCCGCTGGCGACTTCCGTTTATCTCTCTGCGGCTGACAGGAAGTAATCAATAGTGTAATGGCAGACAAAAGCATCCGCCATAGTTTGGCACTAGCCTGACAGGACCTGCACAAATCGGATCGGGCAGGAGCAAAGGGAGATTAAGCACCAAAAAAAAAAACAAAATTATGGGCAAAGAAATGCAAAAAATGAACTAACATCAACTGACAGCTGTGCAATTTGTCAACCTTTGCCGAGGGTGAGCCGACCCCCTGCTGCTGATCCACGCCCCTCACCTGACCAGACTTAAGCCCCGTCGCACATTAAAATGTCCCCTCCACCTCTATGCCCCCTTTTGGCTTTGTCGCAAATGTAAATAATGCGTTTTAATCAAAAGAACAACAGTGGAAAATCCATTAACGGCGTACGTGCCGCACCACAGTTCCTCCGCTTGCTCCAAAAGGGGGACAGTTGTCGGGTTACCCTCCTCGCCCCCCTCACTTTGCTTGGGCCTAGGCTTAACTTTTCGCATGCTGCGCGCGTCATTTGCAGGTTGATTTACAAATTTCTTTAATGAGGCGACGACAACATTTTTAATTAGCACCTGTTCGGGTTGCACGAATCTCTCCCGTAATCTCCATAAAACACTCTAGTCTGGGCGTGCTCCATGCAAATTAATTTCCAACTTTGCGCTGTCTATGCTCCTCCCCATCTCTTCCCATCTCTGCCTACTTTCCTTCGCTTCGCTGGCTCACGCACTTCTCCAAGTTTGCCCTCAAATGATGACATTCGAATGCGTCGCGTAGCGTGGGGCTGGAGGTGGCTGCTGTGTCGCCTTCTAACCCATTCCCTCCATGTACTTGCTCGACATCTTCTTCAACCGCAGCAGCCACTTACGCCCCATCACAAGTCTATGCGAGCTTACTTCTGATCCAATATCCTAATGCCTTTCTATGTTTGCTTCGCTTTGGCGCTGCACATGGCGTGTAGCTGGCCTACGAACTGGCTCCCATTCTGACTCCCCGCAGTTAGTGGTTCCCCCCATTCATCCTCTTGCAATAATATTTTGCAAGTGTTTCTAAACAAGCACAAAGTCATGTTTCAACAGCTGTAGTCTGGCTTCTGCTCGCTGCTGTTTTTATTGTTATTTACCCCACTCTTCAGGCCTCTCCCCTTCCCGTTCCCTCACCGCGTCCCTTCTACTTGTGCTGTAATTGTTGTAGTCCCCACAGCCGTTAGCTAAACTTTCGCTGCACATTAAAGCAATTTGGCCAACATTTATAGACTGATTTAATAGAATCAAAAAGGAGTGGTTGGAATGAGAGCGACTAGACAGGAGGGTGGAGTGCGGCGAAGGTTTGGGGCAAGGAGCCCCACACAAATGAGATATTTCCACACAAGTGAGCAGATCAGGGCCGACAACATTTCAGTGTGTGCACTTGGATATAATTGTTTGACTAAATGAGTGCGTCGCCCCGCTGCCCGCCCCTGGCTTCCTTAAATTCCCTTTGCTTAGTGCTTCACTTCGCTTAACGCTCACAAATACTCATACGAGTGTGTAACAGGAGAGTGGCTACTGACTATACCAAGAGAACAGCAATAATTATGGCAAACACCCCCTCCCTGAACTGCCACCGCTCTTCAGACAGGGGCATATGCTATTTGGGGCTCAACTCTTGTTGAAATTCATTTAGCTCTCCATCGCCCCCTCTGAGAGTGAGTCCTATCAGTAGACAGCAGCAAATGGATACGACTCTTGGCATTGTGCATTATCCCAGACATCCAGATATTCCTGATATCCATGTGAATCCATGTGAGTGCCTTGAACGACTGTAGCTGCTCTGCGAAAGCCCCGTCAAATGGCTCGAAACGGTTGCCATAATGAGGACGAAATTGAAGTCTAAACAAACAGAAATCGTTTGGGCAAACAGAATATGCCAGGACAAAGTAAGGAAGCACTTGGAGGAATGTTAAGGAATATGCAGCAAATAAAAATCCAAAGGAGTCTCCATGGAAATTGAATATTTAATTATGCGTCGATGGAAATTGCGTTTGAAGATGGTGACGAAAATGGCCCAAGCAATCACGAGAATGGCGACAGAGCGGAGGAAAGATAGCGAGAGGAGATGGCACACTTTGTTGTCTAGGAAAAATGTGAACGTTGACGCCGCTTGGGTCTGTGAAATGTTACAGCTAGAAAGACGAGACAAGAAGCTGCTAAATAATTTATTCTAATTTGCGACAGATTTGCCAAGGCCAAGAAGTTAAAGTGTCAGAGGGATTTCCAGAGAGGGACAAATGTGAAAAAAGTTTTGTAGGGTATCTTTAAATTAATTTGGGGTTCGTACAGACAAGTCTCAAGGTTTAACAGCTGCCTCTTAGGGCTTCATTTGTGGCTTCTAGTTAGTTTAAATTTAGTTTCCCAACTGGAAGGAAAGCAAACGGTCGCGTAAACAGAGTATAAGCTTTCCTTTCTGTGTTTGCCTGTTTGCCTGTTTGTCTGCGACTGTGAAGCTCCATCCGCTTATCTAAATAGACTCGCACGCTTACCCCAAGCCCTCTTTCCTATCTACTCACATATAAGAACGCGTATCTCCGTAATTCAACTCTGCTGGCAGTGGGTTTGTGGGTCGCAACACGTGGTACGTGAGCGCCGGCCAAAACTTGCCCCAACCCACAGAAACCCCTTGGAATATGGAACAGGGCTGGCAAACTGGCTGGCAGCCTGGCGCGCGGCAAGGAGGGTCGCATATTTATGAATGGCTCTTGTTTCGAGTTTAACGCACTTCGGGAGCTTTATCAGCTCGTAAATATAAATTAGAATTTAATTTTTATCGCCGTGGAAAGGTGGCTCGAGTTGAGCATTCGATGGCTTGGGATGTGGCTACAGCCTTGGGAGCAATCGTCTGGTCTGGTGAGTGCTGCAGATTGGCAACAGACTGGTTCTGGTGGCCTAGGCAACCGACCGACCCATTGCAGGCTGAACTTCAACGGGGTTCATTTCCATTTGTGCCTGGCGCATGGCACGTGTCACAACATATCAAAGGCATTGGTTTACCTGAGGGCAGTTGCCTGCTGCAATCAACCCCCAGGAGGAAAATCGTGTGACCACAAAATCAGAGCAATTGGAACTCACCTGAGTTAGCTGGGAGGAGGCGTAGTAGGATATTCTTGAGGGACAGACTGATTCTGGCTTTGAGTAAATGGTTTCTCCACCCTGGTCTCCCATTGGCAGCAGGGCGGTGGCGTAGGGTGTGGGTGTGGGCGAGCTGCGGAACCCTGTAGGGAAAAAATAGTTTGGGAATCGATAAGTAAGCGATGGGACTAGGAAGAGGACGGATAACTTACGGTCGAATATGCTGCAGGACTTTTTGGTCTCCGCTGGATATTTGTTGAGGCTGGCGATGGTCGCGTAGGATCCGGTGGCACTCGGCGGTCGACCTAAAGGATCAAGGCGAATGAACACATTCTGATGACTGCCATAACCCGCTGTGGTGAAGCTGGTGCTAATGGAATGGGAAGGGAATGTAACAAATGAGAGGGTCAATGTAAGGAAGCTAATTGAATTGATGGACCAATCAATAGGACTTACTGTAGCGAGTCCTGGCGCAGCTGCTTGCGAGCCCGCACATACATCATGCTAGCCACGAGGCCTACGGCTAAGACCAGGCCCAGAGCGCAGGCAGCAGCATTCATCAGAGCCGGTCCCTGGGAAGGGGCGTTGGCTGGGGCCGGCGACTGATTTGGTTCGGGTGAGATGCCTGCAATTGGAACGGGAACGGACAATATGCGAATGACAGTCGAAAATTGGAGGGAATGGTTACTTACCCTTGGCACAGATCTTGTTGCGCTTGAAGTGGAGCCGGGTGTCGTTGAAGCGGGGAGGTCCCTGCACTACCATGTTGACATTGACCGGCAGTTGAAGGCTGGCGTTGCCAGTGCAGGGCAGGTAGACCAGGAAGGACTCGATCTCCTGCGGCACCAGACCCTTGTGTGGAATGCTCAGCGTGGGTGTACCCAGTGCGTCCTGGTCGTTGGCATATTCGATGCTGATTGTGTAGCGCAGCTACCAGTGGGATAGCCAGTTAATGGAGTGCAAATCAAATTTGAAGTGAACTAAATGGAAAGGGGAAAGGGTTGGGTGGCTTACCGGATAAGCAATGAGACTCTGCCAGGAGAATTCCAGCTCGTGCACATCTGCCGGGACGGGAACGGTGAAGTGCATCGCGTATGTGTTAATGGCTCCCTCGTGCACGTAGAACAAATCCGCCTCCAGCCCTGCGAACGCGAATAGATGGAGGATGAGATTGGGTGGCGGATGCATTGCAGGCATAAAGAGAAAGTTTATTTCACAATTTGCTTTGTTACACCTTCCCCTTGGTGTCCCTTCTTTGGAGTTTCTACTGCTGTGCAAACTTTGTGCATGCTGTGTTTATTTTCCCCGCAGTTGATGACTCTCTTTTCCCCCTCCAACTGTATCTACTTTTGAGCTTCAACGGAAATTGATTTCCTCGACAACTCAACAACAGAGGGTGGCAGCGGGTTTTGCAGCGGGTGAGCCAAGCTCGGTAAACAAAACCCAAGACACAATAATAATCGAAATCGAATCCGTCACCAGCAGGCGACAATGCACGGGACGTCAATTGGTTCTCGCTCTCGGGTTGACTCGAATGTCGCCCGACAGGCGCCCGGGGGGAGCAGCGGGACTCGAATGGGGTGAGACCAAATATTAAAAGGTGTCAAGTGATGTCTAACTCGATTTGAGACGAGACAGCAGAGACATCATCCTTCGCTTTGTGTAACTTTAACTAGCTACGCGAACGTCCTAATCTCTGACCCCGACCATGGGAGCCTTAAGCCCCTGCCCCCCCACTCCGCTGACAGTGAAAGACGAGCTGTTCAAGTTAAAAAGACGTGAAATTAAATTTCTTCATCCGCTTTCATTGTTGTCTCTGCCTGACTCTCCCTCCTGCCTTCTCCGCCTCTTACTGGGTTGCTTTATGTTGCATCATTTACTCTTTGGGATCAGACTAAGACGCGTCCGCAAACGTCTTGGCCTTGCTTTGCATTGAAAGTCGCAAATGCTGTTTACTCTCCTCAACTCGCCTGCCAGTCCTCTCCTCTCCTGCACTCCACCCTTCCTGCCTACAGCTGTTTCACTGTGCGTCTGTGCCGGATGTAGAATGTTGTGTTTCCGGTGGAGGCAGAAGCGAGAAGCGCGTATGTGATTGTGCGTGCAGTTAGGATGGAAGAAAAGGCGCTTGCGCGATTCTTAAAACAATTTCAAATCCAATTACAGAACAAGAGAGCACAAGAAAGCATTTTTCGTTAGCTTCCTTCTATCCATGACTTGTCTAAGAACTTCCCCAATTCTTATGCCGTTTTCCTTTACAGTTTCATTTTGTTTTTGAATTCGAAATTATTATGCACCCTGCTGACTCTGCGGCTCCCCCAGGCTACTTAAACTGTGCTACTTTCCTTTTACGTTTCCCGCTTTCCGCTGACAAACTGCAGAGTTCTCTGCCGCGGGATGGCATGAGAGAAGAGGAGCTGCAGCTACCTCGTTATTCATCCATTTAGGGGAATGCGACGCAGACTAAACAAAAAACACAAACATAACCTCAAAGTGACTCACATTAAATATGCACAAACACACGAAAAGGACAATGTCACTCAGCCCGAGTTCGTCGTAGGACAACAATGACAAAAGGTGCCCCAAGAGGTAGAAGTGAGGACTTTTAACCGCAATGGTATTCGGAGAGGGAATGGGAGAGGGAGAGGGAATGCACTTGTGTCAGGCTTAATTAATTCAGTTCTGATTGAAAACGGATGTGATTCACTCTCAAAGAGACTTTCAACTTTTCGATTGGCCTCTTTGGCGAATTTAAGCCACAAGCTGAAAGCATCTTTAATTTCCGTGAGTTCGTTTTCGTTCTGCATCTAAGCACGGTGTTCCTGGAGATAAGGAGGACACCCAGCTTGACTACGGTCCCAAGTCCTGCTCCGTCGAACTTTGGCCGTCTTTCATATCACGCGCCTTGCACAGCGCCAACTTTGCCGTCGCCTGGGAAAGTTTTGGCTCGTTCAGGAGTCTGCCTTGTCCCAGTAAGTTTCCTCGTGTCCCCCTGCCGCTTGTCACTCTAGCATAATTATAATACCTGCGATTGTCTGAATGGCTTCGCCACACACACGTGACGCTGCAACCGCAGACGCCCGCTGCCAGAGCAGGAGGTGGAACCGGAGAGGAAGGCTTTGGTGGGCGAGACTGAGGGTGGAGGACCGAGTCTGGGTCGGCTTTGACAATGGCAGCACACAATTTGCATAAAAGATTAAGAGGATAATTAGTGTCATTAGCTGGCAGCCGCTTTGAAGGAGTGCAACGTGCATTTTCTGAAATTATCATCCTGACTGTCGACCTAGTCGCTAGCCTCTCTGCTCCTCTCCAAATGACACCTCGACAGGGCTTATCCCTTTGCTGTGAATCAGAGTCGAGTTCGGCATTTAATTGGCACAGTTTAAAATCTCTCACACCTTTTTTTTTTTTTTTCCAAGTTTTCTCGCCTTACTCAGCAATAAAGCAAATCGACACCAAAACACCCTGTTAAAAGCTAGAGGGAGGGGAGCAGAAGGTCGAGGGTTGCCTTATTAATGTGGCGATTTTCGGGCTGTTTTCTATTCATTAAAAATAATTTTCTTTTGCATTAACTTTTAATTTAAAGGGAAATTTCGGAGCATAAGGTGGGAGAAAGCTCTAGACCTAGAAAGGTCCTTTTTCTCGTGGGGTTCCCGTTCGGGCTCAAGAAATGTGCACATCAAAGTGAAACTTGTTGAAATTGCATTTTTACGCGTCCTTGCACAGCGAGCACTAGAAGTTAAGGGGGTGGGGTGGACGTGGGGGTGGGGCAACCCTCCCCAACTGGTGGCTGATGCTGGTGTCGCTGGCAACTCTGGGACGAACATTGCTCGTTGCTGGGGAAACGCGACTCGCTGGAAGGCAGAGCGGAAAATCTTCAACAAAAGCGTAAAAAATATTTAATTTTAATGTTGTCGTCACTCCATCGAGGGAAAAGGTATCGAAATATATGTATATAAAAGTATAGTTAGAAGCAGCCAGAAAAGAAATCGTTTAACTCATGTTTACAGCTGATTGTAACTCGAATCAAGGGTGCAAAGGCGAGGGGGAAAAGGGGGAGTTGAAGGGAGCTGTGTACTCGATTTTTATTGCCGGAATGCATCACGTCAATCACAGGCAGCCAGCAATGAGAGGACTGCCAGAGAGCGAAGTTATTCGAGAAATGCGTATGTTGGAAGAGAGGAATGGAACTGAAACAGAGGGAGAGATTGGGCTTGGGTTAGGGTCTGGGTTTGGGTTTGGGTTTGGGGTCAAGTAGCTATAACGCGTCATCCACATGAACAAACAGTCATGGAGACATATGCGGAGAAGGATGAGGGGACCTGAAAATAAATCATGCAACGGCATGTCGCACTGTTGATGGGAAGGGGGAGACGATAGAGTTGGATGGGTCAGTTTGTTTGATTCCAAGCTGCTTGTTAATTTTGAAATGGAAACAGGGCCAGAGGGTGGCAAATATTATGAAGAAGGGGCTGTTAACTGGTCGTTAAAAACATAACGAGCTCTGTGGATGGGGTGGAAAAGAAGAAGGGGAAAGGAAGGAGGGTATCTGTAGGAAGTGCGAGATGGAATCTCTGGAAATCGCGCATAGCACAGGAAATTACAAAGAGCAACAAACAAAGTGGAAGATTCTTTGAGTTGTCGCTAATGAAATCCGATTTGCATTGAAGGATGACAGGGGTCAGAGGGAGCCAAGGGCCGCGCCTTGTGAAGTGTCAATTGCTCGGACGAGCAGCTCATGGCTCAGCACACTTGAATGCAGTCTCAGAAAGAAGTGCAGAACGAAAGGGGAGCACTTGATACAGGCAAAGCAAGGAGAAGGAGGCAAGGAAGGGGAGGTGTAGTAGCTGACCTAGTAACATGGGCGACAGCTGCAGCTCAAAGTTGCCTGGCCATTCATCAATCTGCGCCACGAGCGGACCTTGTGTGGATTATTTTTATGCTCTTCAACTAATTGAAGTGCCGTGATTTGGCGATTAGGAGCAACCAGGAGGAGTGGCAGTGGGAACTAGGACTATGATTGAGCCTGCATAATGAGATGGAAGCATTTTGCTCCAATTACACTTAAGTGCCGGAAAATGCTGTGCACAGTGGAATGATGAACTGGTGGGTAAAGGGAGTTGGAGAGCGAATTGGAACCGCCCCGACTCACATTTTGGAGCCATGAACCATTAATCAACGTGAGTAAAAGAACGCGACGGGCAGGACGTCATTCCGCCTTGGCACGCCGAATGAATGCCTATTACTGTAACTATTTTCGAGGATACGGATTGGGTAGGGGCGAGGCCTGGCACAAGGTCGATCTGGAGGCACTTGAGTAGCTGGCGCCATCAATAACGAGGCCTCGCGTTGAGCAACAAACGGAAAAACAGCAAAACAAACAACAAAATGCGCCGCACCGGTCTGTGAAGTCGTTATCAGCCGGGGGAGAGGGAAAATATGGGAGGTGGCTGAGGGGTGGCCAAGCATGGCGGGCAGCCACTTGCAGCTGTCAACAGGGTGGTGAAGGCGAAGGTGAAGGTGCGAGGGTGGCTCCGGCTACAGCCGGAAATCGATTTGTGTGGATTTGTTTTGTCGTGTTTTCGCGTAACTTTTGTGGTCGTCCACCTCCTCTTCTTCGTCTCGACGTCGTCGTCGTCGTCATGGTCAACAATTATTTTGGAACTATTAATGACTGCGACGTGGTCTGTGCCTACGCCTCCCTTCCACCCTTACCCCTCCTTGACTGTGCTTGTTTGTTTTTCCTGTTGAGGAGCAATGAATTTGTCCTGTCGCACTTTGCCATTCAACTATTAATCATATCTGTGGGGCAGGGTCGGAGGCGTGTCTCGAGGTTCGAGCAACTGTCCCAACGATTACTTTCAAATCGAAACATACTTTCCCTCTCAGAAATAGGTCTCATATGTGGACTTACCCATCAGTTTCATCACCTCGTGGTGGCTGATAAAAATGTTTAGATATCCGCTGACCAAAGGTAGCTGCCAAGTGATCGAAGAGATACAAAGCAGCTGCAGCAGCGAGCTGCGGCTGGCGGCCATACTTAGCATGAGGAGCACTTCCTCTTCTCGCCCTTTAGTTTTAGCTGTTTCGTGATGGGGATGCTTATTTGGGTGCCAGACGTGCAGTTAATAGCTTGTCAGTGCATGTGACGCCACAATTGGCGCTCATTCCAGCGGATCTCCCGCATGAATGCCCGCGTGGAGCTGGATTCCCCTTTGGCTCTGTGACAGCCAATTTCAATGTGTTGCCATTGAAATTTCCGGAGGCACAGACGAGACTGTTCCGTTTGGGCCTGAGCTCGGTTTTGATATGGCGCGGCTCTGAGAATGCGTTAAAATCAAATTCCGGCAACGGCAACTGCTGCTCACAGTTCCGGATGCGGCCACAAAGCGACGAGCAGCTCTACGTGGACTCTGTCTGGCAAATTTGGAACTTTTACTCTGGCTGTCCCCTTCTACGGACTGGGTTCAACTTTTCCAGTTTTGTTTTTAATGCGGTTGCTTCGGTTGTTTTTGTTGTTGTTGCCGAGTTCGCCTGTCGACTGCAAGCGGCATCAGCATTTCGTTAGCTTTTTTATTGGCCACTTCTTCCCCCCTTGCCTAGCTCCTTCCACTCCTGCAGCTGGTGGTTCAGCTCGTCACGTTGGCAACGTCTCGCCCGCTGGTCAGTGGCTTGTGCCAGTTGTTGGTGTCGAGCACGTGTCCAGGTTGTCCTCCTTGTCCTGGTGGCCTTTTTGTGCCGTCTGCTCGACTCTTCGTTCCAAGCACAGTCCTGTTGAATAGAAAGTGATTTAGTTGACTTTCGGACAGAAGATGCAGAGTCTGTGACACTCTGTGATGTGTGGTGCGAGAGTGTGTGTAAGAGGAGTGTGTGTAAGAGGTGTGTGTGGTGCTGTGGTTGAGTGGCTTTGTTGTTTGTTTGTTTCGAAAATAATTTGTGAATGTGCAGCTCAAAGAAAGTTTTCTGCCTGCAAAAGTAATTACAAAGTTGAAAAAAGATTAACAGCTTCGAGAATCGTCCAACACTTCTAGTGGGAAAGGCGAAAGGGAAAAGGGAACAGCAGGAGTTCCTCTTTTGATTGAAGCTCACATGTGCTGCTTCGACTGATGTTTTAATAAATTCCTGTTAATATTTCGTGTGTTTCTTTGCTCTAAATAATTCAGTGGGCAATGGGAGGGCGAACGAGAAAAATGGGATAAACTATTTGTTTGCAAAAATGTTTGTGTGGATTTTGTGGTTTAAGTGGTTGTGCCCCTACCCTACTGGTGCTCACGCCTTCTGTTGCTTGCGTGCAGCTACGGAATGGAATTCCAGGTGCAGCTAGAACCAGAGCCAAAGTCAAAACAGTTAGCCAGGTGGAAAGTCAAGAGTTGGCATGGAAATGGAAATGCAAATGGAAGGAAAGGAGGGAAAGAGAAATAGGAAGAACGGCAGTCAAGTGCCTCCAAAATGAAATTGTTGCCAAGAAACCGACCTCCAATTCCACCTGTCCTCTTCCCTCCTCTTTTCTCCTGCTACCCTTCCAAATCTCCATGGCTGCAGATTGGGAACTGTTTCTGGGTTTTTTGGCCGCAATAAAAATCGAAATCAGAAAACTTTGTTGCCGCTTCCACTTCTTTGGCTTTTCGTTCACTCTTGTTTCACGGCTATGGAAAAGTGCTTAAACTTTTGCAATGCGCGGTCAACGCAGCTGTGGGCGTGGCAAAAGTGCAGCCGTGGAATGCGAAGTGTGGCAGGGATTTAATTAAACTTATCTGAGATGAGAGCGGCCGCCGCAAGGATACGCCAGGCGACGACTCACTTGATTAAGAACCAAATCATCAGGACGTCAATTGCAGCTCAGATCCCTGCCAGGCAGTCACAGCCACAGCCCAAGCCCAAAAGCTGACGCTGAAGCTGAAGCTGAAGCCGATGCCATTCAGCAAGTTCATTAATAATTCAAAAGACAAATAACAAAATGTAAGTGCACATGTGTGTGCGGCTGCAGCCAGCAGCAGGAGGCAAGCAGCTCACCTCAGCTTCGTTTCAGTCCAACAAGTCGCGAGCGCGTGGCAAACACTCGCTGGCACGTTGGGAGGCTGCCTTCCCTCGCGATGCAGGAGCGCTCGACGTCATCATCGATAACATATTAACGACGTCAACTCAATCATAATCAGAAGGAAGGATAAGGAAACGAGGGATGTTTATCTCCCGACCGAGACAGGGACAGAAAGTTGTCTGTTGGCTGTCGCAGGCGGCAGACGGAATCGTGAAACTGGGGAGCCAATGTTGAAAATTTTCTGCTTAGTCACACGCATCATCAGTCAGTGCCCCATGCCTCGACTCAGCGCCACGCCACGCCACGCCTCCCTCGCAAGCCCGCCCATTCGCGCAAGTGACAAATTGAGCGACGGGCTTTGTCTTTGGCTTGAAGATGATGTTCGGGTTGTTTCAGGATGCTGATGATGACGATGTGAGTCCTGGCAACTGTCAATTCAAAAAACTTTTCAATTACATGATGTGGAGTCTAATGAATAATCATATCTCCCCCTCTCACTATCTTTCTCTCTTACCCCTCTGGACAGAACCCTAACTAACTATTATCATTAGCTACAAGGAATTTCCCTTCTTTGTTCATTTTTGTTGCTCAGAATATTGATGTTCATTTAATTTCATCTTTAGCTTTAGGATGTCGGATGTGGGCGTCTTTGCTTGGGGCGTGGCTTGGCAGGCAGGCTCGTTTCAATTATAAAATGGCTTTCATTTCTAATTGAAACCGTGCGTCTGAGAGTCAAGCTAAGTAAATGTTATTGCCCCCGTCAATTTCCATTAGCACCCACCCCTGTGTTTCAGCACCTGGCGCCATGGCGACTTTAATTGTAAGGCAGACCACGTTGTCATTGCCGTCGGCTGGGATTGGCCGTCGGGTTGTTGTGCTTTCAATTATTTCAGCGATTAAAATGCGAGCAGGCAAGCTAGAAGGAATCAAAAATTTAGAGCATATAAAATATATGTATATTCCAACTTACGAGCGGCAAACGGAAACAGATTTAATATAATCTTCAATTTTCTTGGTTATTAAAGTGCTTGAAATCTATTTATGGAATTCGGCAATAACAAAACAAAATCCAAAAAATGCGAATAATACGAAAATTCTACTTCGTAGCGGAGCAGTCAACGGGGCGGATGGTTGATGGAATGCGAATCCGATGGAGTTTTAGCAGACCCAGCGGCTGTTTGCTCATTTGGCAAATAGTTGTTAGCTCAGTTTCGAGCCAAAAAGTATCGAATTGCATTTCAACTTAGTTTTATGAGCTCTCATTGTTCCAGTTGCTCTACCGGATATTGTTGTGCGTGGAATAGCCGCCGGTTCAGCGCTTGCCCATTAACTTTAATGTTCTCTACATATTCTCGACTATAAACAAGTGGGAAAATGCAATATGAGTGGACCGGACCGCAGCAGGGCGTGGGTGCTGCGGGGCGAACTTCATTAAACTCGCGTAAATGTTCAACACAAAATAACGCGCACAAAATTAAAATAAACACAAAATGCCAGCCATGAACTTTCCGTTTTCGGTTCTATCCTGTATGGCTATACTATATACAGAGTCCAGAACTCGCCCCTAACATTGCAGACAAATTTAAAGTGATAAATTTTGATAACTGATTAAAAATAACGAGCAACATTCGAGCTTTTGTTTACCTGCCACGCGGCTGTGTTGCTGTGGATGTATAATGCCTAAATTCCCTATGTGTAAGGGGTATATTGGTGCCGTTGAACATCTGATATATGTACCTTTTTATACCCATTCATAATTGGGCTATTGTTTCTGCTTCAAATACCCAATAGCTACGACTCCAAATCTCTATTCAAAAGTAAATTCTTTATCTTTTGTTTTTTTTTGCGAACAGTATAGGGTATCTATTAGTCGATAACAATTGATAAGCACGCTAAATTGCGCATTATACGTTGGTCAACGCATTTGTAGCAACAATTTTTGCTGCGCCCAAAATCGAAACATTTTTGTTTTCCCAGCTAATTTGTATGGGCAATTAATTTACATTAGGCATGGTCTTTGATGGGGAGGAGAGGAGAGAATTGTTTAAGTTGGAATAACCTGGCAGATAATGGCCACTAAAGCTGTCACATGTGTGCGCAGTAATAACCAGGTACAGCAATAAATGTTATAAAAATGAGTATAGATGAGTACGAGTAAAATATTTCGATGTATGGCAAATTAAAAATACACTTAAAGCAAACCCATATTTAATCAATTGAATTAAAAAGCAAATTCAATATAAATACAAAATATGCTTTCGTATTTTATATAATAAATATAAATGCAAATTAGCATAATAATATTTAATATTAATTGCATTAAGAGACAAGCTGTTCAGCTGACGTGTGTGCGTGTGTGAGTGTGAGTAAATGTGCATATATATTAGTGAGCCTTAAGCTTAAACTCTCCATAGACTCTGTGAGATGTGTTGGTATAAAAGCTCTTTAAAAGTACACAATATATCTTTGTTATTATGGCCCCAAAATTGATAGAATAAATCTTGATGGAATATTGAAATTTAAAACATATCCAATGACGCTCTGTCTGCCTGTCTGCATGTCTGCAGAGTTTTTGTTCGTGTCATCGTCATCGTTTTTCTGCCAGAACTTATGGGATTTCGCAGAGCGTAAATGTGATTATCATGCAGGGTACGTACCGAAAACCACCTGCCATTGGGATTGGGCACCGAACGAAGCAACCATTTGGCATGAAATACAACCTCAATTACGTTTTATAACTCAACACTCGGTGGTGTAGAGCTGGGACCCTTGGCTGGGAATTTTCAATATTATGTGGCTGAATTTATTGTGCACAAAGCGACAAAGCGACAAAGTGACAGAATCGCCAGCTAAGCGACACCCGGCATCCCCACCTAGACTGCGACTGCGACTCCGACTCCGACTGCGTCTGAAACAGAGACTAGGGTCTGGGTCTGGCCGGTCTTTTTATCTACCAAGTGCCCCATAAAAATATCTCGGATTTCAGACCGGCAAACGAGCAGTAGCCACTTTAAAGCGGCAAACAACTTGAGCTAAAAGCAATCCGCATCTGCCCCTGCCCCATCCCCTGCCACAGCTCTGCCCTGTACAATGGGCAATAATCATTGATTTATGGCTGTCATTTTGGTTATTAAACTGAAATTTCTTTTTTAAGCAAATCTGTGCTGGCAGCTACTGTCTGGCATTGGCACGAGATTCTCGCACAGAATCTAGGCTGGGGCGAACGAACTCTTGACAGCATTTGGAAATTATGCTGCTCGAGTTAGCCTACTTAGGCTCATGTCCTCTTGACCGGCTAAGATGTAAATTGAAATATTCGACTCGGTATGCCGTGTCCGTGCTTAATCTATGCCCATTCCCCTGCCTAAGCGCGCTTAATGGTATCGAGGCCACAACAAAAAACAAGCAAAGGGAGTCGAGTGGAGTGTATGTGACGGAGAGATACCCTGTTCGCCTCCTTACTGAAGCAGCCCAGAACTGCTCGGCTATTATTTGACTTGGAAAATTTATAATATATATATATATATATATAATTTATAATAAATCATGTTGTGTTGGATAAGTAGAACTTATAGATTACTTTTTTGTCTTTTGTTGGTTTCCGCTTCAATCTGCTTATGATTAACATAAGCTTTATAAAGAATAGCCTGCAATATATCCTAAGTTCTTCATATCGAACAGAGACAAGCTTTTTGATTATATTCAGATTGCTATAAATAGGAATGCTCTGCTC